AGCCTTAATATTTCATATTGGGTGTAATATTAAGGATAATCATCTAATCTAAACTTTGTTCTTCTTCTTTTCAGATGTCTACCCAAAACAATGCTCCAACACCAATTCCTTCAGGCTCTTTCTCTTTAATGAACCTATGTGTTAGGGTCATTTTTGATGGCTCGAATTTCAATGACTGGATTTGAAACATCAGAATGGCTATTTGTTACGAGGACATAGAATATGTCCTTGATAAAGAGCTTAAGGAGATTGATGTCACCACTGCTACTCCTGAACAAATCACTGAACACACTACTCATGAGAAGGATGCGACAAAGGTGTCGTGTCTAATGATTGCTACCATGACTGTTGAGCTGCAGAAGTCTTATGAGGACTACTATCCCTATGAAATGTATCATGATTTGATGGAAAGATACCATCAAAGCGCTCGGTAGGAGAGGTATGAGATCATTTCCTCCATGATCACAACCAAAATGAAGGATGGTGAATCCATCACGGGCCACTTGCAAAAGATGTTGAGATTCGTGGACCGCTTGCTCAAATTGAATGTCAATTTTGATCAAGAGTTGGTCATAGATATTATTCTACACTCTTTACCTCCTTGTTATGATCAGTTTCACATGACCTATCATATGAACAAGGAGGAGGTCACCCTTAGCAAGCTTCAAGGGCTTTTAAGGACTGCAGAAAGCAACCTTAAAGGCAAGTCGGTTGTGTCTACTCCTACTACTACTTTTGCCCCTGTTCTGGCAATAGGGAATGGGAAGGGAAAGAAAAAGAAGGCTCCCTCAAAGAGCCGCAAGGGAAAGTCTCTTGATGGATCCTCTTCAAGTGGGACCAAAGTTGGTTTTGCTAATCCCTCTTCCAATCCTAAGGAAGCAGAGTGCTTCCACTGTCATGAAAAAGGGCACTGGAAACGAAGCTGCCCCAAGTACTTGCAGGACATAAGGGATGGCAAGATCAAGCCCCAAGTACGGGAGTATGCCCAGCGTACCCGTATGCGTGAACCAAAATGGGCCACGTCGACATGACCCATCACTCGAGTGCCCCGGGTCCGTAAGCAATGACGCATTTGATCTGATCCACCTGGTACGCCCCGCGTACTAGGCGTACGCCCATCGTACATGTCGACAACGGAGTACGCCCATCGTACTCTTTGAGTTACGCCCAACGTAAATCGGGGTTCAGCCCCCCTATAAATAGAAGTCGAGGGCTGCCGAGTTTTATTGCTCATTTCTTTCTCTCCCACTCGTTATTGCCTCGTTTTGCGTGCTAGTTATACCCCGAAGCCCCGATATCATTCCCGAGACCCGAAGCAAGTCCTGACGCCCCGAAGATCCCGAGAAGTAAAATTCCCGAGCCGAAGCTCTGCCCGCGAGAAGCCCGATTTTTGTGAAGATCTCCCGGTTTCACCGAAGAATACTGCTTTTAGAGCCGTAGTGTTGTCCGAGAATCATCTAATCAAGTGAGTGTGTAGTTACTTTCTTCTAACACATAGATATGAAGTATTTGCTATGAAATACATGCTATGTGTTTATAAATTGTTTGTTTACTTGATATGGATGTTGAATGAATGTTTTGTACAAGTTTTAAATGATTTAAACCGTATATGTATTTTATATCTACAAATATGTTCGGTAGAACATGGGTAGATGATTAGTTGGTGTATAATGAAATAAAATGATGATAGGTCTCGATGTTTAAAATGATCTAGTCATCTGTGACAACGACCACAGACTATTCTAAATAGTTCATTGGAATGTTATTAGGCTCGTAGCCTGTAGGAGCTTTTGTACTCTGTGTTCATTAGGAGTTTTTGTACTCTGTGTTCATTAGGTGATTGTGTTCACTAAAAGCGTTTGTACTCTGTGTTCATTAGGAGCTTTTGTACTCTGTGTTCATTAGATGATTGGGTTCACTAAGAGCATTGTACTTTGTGTTCATTAGGTATTATAGAACTAAATGTGTTCACTTGGTGTTGTTGAACGGGGTGTGTTCACTAGGTATTTTAGAACTAAGTGTTCACCGGATGTTTTGAATTAAGTGTTCACTAGGAGTGTTTGAACTAGGTGTTCATTAATTATGTTGAACTAAGTGTTTACCACTGGTAATTTGAGGACCTTGGCAGCGATGGACTTTGTGTCAATTCCTTAGGTCAATCCTTAGGAATGAATGAGTGAAGGATGATCGATTCTTAGGGTAAATCCTTAAGAAATAAAGGAGATAATGGGGATGGGTAATTGGGTTGATTGTTTGATGATTGAATATAATAATTATATTATTGTGGGTTGAAAACCTTATATGCTCACCAGGCTCCCAAGCCTGACCCACTCAGTTTTCTTTGTATCACAGGTATCGATACGAAGACATATTTCACTGAGAGATTTAAAGGAGATGTAAATCATTAGTGTAAATAAATGTAAGTTCTGTTTATGCTTATGTGTCTGTATCGGAACATGTCATCCCGAGGTTTTATTATTTAATGAAAATACATTCTCTTTGAGAAATGTTTTGACAAATGGTTATCATATTTTGTTTTGGGACAAATTCCGCAACTGTTTTCTTTAAAAAGATTACTCTGATTTTAAAACAATGCATAAACAAATCGGTCTTTTTTTGGCCGTGAAATTTGGAATGTCACAAAATGCTATCTACATCAAGGTTGTTCTGGGTCCGTTGCGTATGTGATGGACACCCAGGACCAAGGTAGGGCATGGTTGATTATGTGTCGGTTGTGCGGGAGTACCCAGATGTGTTTTTGGAGGATTTACCTGGGGTGCCTCCGGAGAGGCAGGTGGAGTTCCGGATTGATTTGGTTCTTGGTGTGGCTCTGATAGCCAAAGCACCATATCGACTAGCTCCACCATAGATGCAAGAGTTGTCTACATAGTTGCAGGAGCTGTTAGACAAGGGATTTATCTGACCGAGTAGTTCGCCTTGGGGTGCACCAATCATGTTTGTGAAGAAAAAGGACGGGTCGCATCGGATGTGTATTGACTAACGGGGGTTGAATAAGCAAACAGTGAATAACCGTTATCCACTCCAAAGGATTGATGATTTGTTTAACCAGCTTCAAGGTGCGTTTTGGTTTTTCCAAGATTGATCTACATTCGGGTTATCATTAGATGAGGGTCAGAGAGGACGATGTGAAAAAGACGGCCTTCCGGTCTCACTATGGTCATTACGAGTTCATGGTGATGCCCTTCGGGCTCACCAATGCTCCTGCCGCATTCATGAACCTCATGAACTGCGTGTTTCGACCGATGTTGGATTGGTCCGATATTGTATTCATTGATGACATTCTAGTCTATTCTAAAACGCAGGAACATCATGAGGAGCACTTGCGAGAGGATTTAGAGACCCTGAATTGGGAGAGGCTGTATGCAAAGTTCTCCAAGTGCGAGTTCTGGTTGTGCGAGGTGCAGTTTCTAGGGTACCTTGTCAACCAGAATGGTATTCTGGTCGATCCAGCCAAGGTGGAGGCCGTGATGAGGTAGGAAGTTTCGAGGTCTCCATCCGAGAGTCGAAGTTTCCTTGGTTTAGTTGGGTATTACCGGATATGTATTCAGGATTTCTCCAAGGTAGCGGTTCCTCTGACCCGACTGACGAAGAAGACTGCTATTTTTCACTGGGGGCCTGAGCAGCAAGCAACATTCGAGACACTGAGACAGAGGTTATGCGAGGCGCCAATTTTGACCATGCCAGAGGGTGTTGAGGATTTTGTGGTCTACTATGACGCGTCTATCACGGGATTAGGCGTGGTCTTGATGCAGATGGGTCACATTATTTCTTACGCCTCGAGGCAGCTAAAGCCTCATGGGGCGAACTATCTGACGCATGATTTGGAGCCGGGGGCTGTTGTGCTATTTACACGGATCACAAGAGCCTGAGGTATGTGATGGATTAGCCGAATTTGAACATGAGTCAACATCGGTGGTTGGGTGTGGTGAAGGATTATGATTGCAAGATCCTTTACCATCCAGGGAAGGCTAATGTTGTAGCCGATGCTATTAGCTGCAAGGCAGTCACGGCTCCGATCAGGGATATCTGTCTTAGGATGATAGTGATTACTCCGCTTCTGGAACGGATTCAGGAGGCGCAAATTGAGGCTATGAAGGAGGAGCACCGGAAGAGTGAACGCATTGTGAGTCAGGTGAATTCCTTCGATTATGATAGCCGAGGTTTTTTGCCTCTCCATCGGAGAGTGTGGGTTCCTTATTGTGGTGGTGTGCGTTAGGTTTTGACGGAGGAGGCACACAAATCAAGATTCTCCATTCATCCGGTTAAACTGAAAACCAAAAAAAAACGACCAAATAACGCCCTTACTAATAATAGTAAAATCGATTTTGCGCTAGTATGTATGTTTGAAATGTGATTCAACCTTGTTTTAAGTTCCTAAACTTCATTTGAATGGTTATTATGACATGATCTAGATTTGGACTTGTGCAAACAAGTAATGTCATTAATCTACCTCACAATGTCCATTGGATGCAAAGTTTAGTGATGATTCAATGATGATTTTTAACACAATTGGGATGTTCAAGTGGTTAATATCAAACATAATTTAATTTTTGAAGTTATAAACCTTTAAATCGTAATGTTAAATTCTTGACCTATGTGTAATTGATGTTTTCTAATGAATTTGGAAGTGTATTTACTTGTTAGTACTTAGTATACTTCAAAGTTAGTCAATAGAAGTAGAATGAACGTTTAAAACTTTATATCACCTTAATAGACTTATGTTGGTCAGTCGGTGTTAATGATAGCAGATAATCGACTTTATATCATTTGTACACACTTATGCCAGGTTCACTAAGAATCACATTAACCATTGCAACATACATCCTACCCACCAACAACTACTTCACCTACAAACAAAATAGAAAATGCTAATCTTGAAAACACAGGAAAGCAACCGCATTCATGCCCTTCAGTCTAGTAGGTCACAATCTTCAACAAGCATCTTTGAAAGATTTCTTCCAAAGCTCAACATAAAAATTCCCTTGTTAATTACCCAAATCCTTTTTTACTTGATGTTTTCTTTGAGGTCAAACCCATCATATTTTCGGTTACATTTGTAGCGGTTGACAACAAATGTGGAGTCAAAATCTGCAAAAACCAGAGTAAACCAAAAGAGCTACGACATCACATAAAACACACAAGAATAATTTTCAAGGTACCATATGGAACACCCACATGAGGAATCAAAACCATGGATTTCATTTGGACATGTAAGAAGAAACAAACTGCAGACAAACACCTTTCATGCTATCACCAATAGCATGTTAAATGTATCTTTCTCTGGTTTCACTCCATCCAAGATCAAATGATCATATACATTCCTCAACAGATAAAACCTATTAATAAACATCTATATTAGACTCATCACTTGTGAAATATGAAACTTTTTGTTGTGCTAAGTCCAATGTTTGTATGAATTTGTGAAAAGTAAGAAGAAAAAACTGAAAATGGAAGTACACTAAAACTAGTTTTCTTTATTGATTTCGTAAAGCAAAGTCAAACATATCAGAAGATACATATACGATGTGTAAAACGAATTGAGAGGTGCACCTGGTTGTTTGAAGAACCAAAATTGACCGTAGAGAATGGCCTAATTTCACGCCAGAAGTCCGTGTTTTCTCTCAAGTTCTTGCAGACTGGGAGAAAAGCGGTGGGTTATTTGCCTTACTCATCGGCGGCGACGTATAATGAGAGAACAGAAAACTCGATGTCGGATGACAGCAGCGTGAGGAAGGACATCGGCGGCGACGTCAGCTGCCCGGAATGATGTAAGCAGACGGAAGATGATGGACGGGCATGGGCGGCGAGAGAGAAGACACCAATCATGGCAACTGGCAAGGCTATGACTTAGGAGCAAAACCCACCATGAAGTCTCTTGCGTCAGCCTGAGGCAAGAATGACCGGATGCAAGCAGGCAGGAGACGTCGCATGAGATAAGCATTAGTGGCTATGGGCGGCGGCGGGATTCCGATTGGGCGAGAAAAGCTGCCCATCGACGTGGCCTAAAGCTTTCAAGGCTTCCAATTAGAGTAACAGAAGGCCCCACAAAAGTCAAACAGACTCTCATAGTCGGCTGAACTACACCACCAATCTTGATTCACAGTCGGCGAAGTAGATCACAGATACTCCTTCTCTTCCCTGAATGGGTGATTGATTCATCCTTCACTCTCTCCTTGGATTCCATTCTAAATTTCCAATCCAATTTCTCTGAATCAATCGCAGCATCGGCCCAGGCCTTCAAGCTCATCCTCCAGGGCTTCACATTGATACCGATAATCCATTATGAAATAGCTTTCGTGTGTTTCCTCATAATTTTCATCTACAATTTTCTTAGAGTTTCATTTCTTTCATGATGTTCTCACTCTGTTCCGAGGTTCTCCGGTGTCTCTAACATACAATTCGGCCTCTGAGATTTACCACGGTGTCGCCTTCTTCATGGCAGGTTCAATTTTTTATTTTTATTTTTCGATTCTTAATCTTATATATGTGAAGGACTTATGTTGTTTTGTGCTGATTGCTTCATTACTAAGGTACTTGGTTACACCTTGGCTCTCAAGTCCTCCTCATGTTCAAACAACATTTCTGCATTTCCATGGAAGACCTCCTGCAGTAAATTATAGAAGGTATGTCTTCTTGGTCTGGTTTTTGCCAGATTGAACTAACCGAATGAAAAATATGGTCAGTGAAAAGTACTTTTTTTGTCTTTTTGATATGAAACACCTAACATTAATTTACCATTTTAACCCTATGAAGTATTTTAAACAAAGTTATGTTTGATAAAACTAAGTGTGGGTGTAGTATCTAATAGTTGTTATCATCTGATGATTGTTGCACAATTTCTGACAGTAGGATGAATATTTCTTTGAGTAGGATTCATACGCAGGTGAGAAGTTGTTCCAGATAGATAAAAAAAAACAAAAAAAGAAATTTAAATGAAAATGAAGATCATACAAGTTTAGGATCCGATAGGACAATTACTAATATATATTCTATTTAACTACAGAAAAGTAATAATATTTTTTGGTCAAACTAAAACTGAAATGTACAATAAATAGCAACATACTTTCATCTATTTGCTTATTATCACATCCTACTTTCTTATCTTCCTATTACAACATTGTACTTTGAAAAATCTACTCATTTGCATCAATGTCAAGAAATAATGAGCTAATAAGAAAAAAAATTGAAAGTACAATGTTATACTTAGGTAAGTTTCAGAGTGCAATTCCTAAAAGAGATTTTTTTTTTGAAAGTCCAATGCTGCCAGAAAAAGAAATGAAAGCAAAACGTTTTACTGTACAAAATAAATGAATGTAGCTATTTCTTGCATTTAACGTTTAAGTGACTGTTCTATCACTTTTGTTGACCTCATCAGAAATGGATTCTATGTGTTTTGGAACAGAATTTAGCTTTTTATATTTTGGTTATTCTTATAATGTTTTTCTACTCTTTCAGAAAATTATTCCATGCATCTGAATATCTGATTGTGGAACTTTTGCTCTGGATTGGCTAAAGAGTTCAGATGGTAATTTACATACAACATTTATACTGTACCTCATCAGAAAATATCAATGTGATTTATCACTTAATAATAAATACATGCCAAGATGTTAATATTATCTTGTAAATCTTCTTGTGGTTTAGTATGATGCGACTTATAGACCATGCAACAAGTTACAAAAAAAAAAAAAGCCTATAAAGGGTAATTAAAGAAGTTCATTTTCAAATATGTAGATTATAATTCATAATCAAATATGCATAAAGTGTGCCTATCATGTTGTTGCTAATTTTTATCTCACTATATACTAAACATATAAGCTAATTAGTAGCTCTAAGATACAGGTTTTTTAGGCAGCCTGAAGTTGAGCTTCTATGTCCTAATCTAGGGAAACAAAATATTCATAAATATTGACGATAAAAACATGTATTCTGCAGATTTGAATTATTGATGAAATCATAGCTAATATCTTTGACAATTTCATTATTACTGTTTTCCTAGGATGTGATGGTGGTTTAGTTGTTAGATTATGATGCTTGGTAGTTGGTATGGTGTTTGCTATTTAAAATTGGGTTAAATGCAAGAAATAGCAATGTACTGTAATTGATATTATAGCAACCTATTTTCTTTTCTTTCTATTACAACCTTGTTCAATAAAAAGTAAAAACATCTTCCCAGTTAAAGCAATGTCATCCAAATACAAAACAATTTTCAGTGCTATAATAAGCAATACAACAGAAAATATAATGTAATAATTGGGTCAAAAGTTCAAAGTACAATGTCTTACTAAGAAAGTATAATGCTTCAATAGAAAGAAATGAAAGTAGGTTGTTATAATACACAAATATGTGAAAGTACATTGTTGTTTGATGCATTTATCCCTTTAGTTAATCTTTGTAGGAGAAATTATCATCAGGCTTGATTCTAAAAAAATATATTCCATGATGAGAAACTTGTAAATTGAATTGTAAAACATGCATGCAAGGTTTTTATTTATTGTGGTTTGAATTTTATATAACTTTGCAGTTTTAGGAGGTTCAACATGTGAAGATAAAACCCCCATCTTAGTTGTAATTCCTGGATTAACTAGTGATTCTTCTGCAGCTGTAAGTTCAAACTCTTGCCAGCAAAATTTGGTCATTTTCATGGCTTAATTATTACTGAACCTGCTTTTTTTCTTTTGTTGTGCTTTTTTTCTTTTTTTCATTCTTTCTTATGAAAACCTTTTACTTTGAAAAATCTACCCAATTCCAGCAATGACATCCAAATACAAAGCCATTAAAAGTATAATGTCCTAATAAGAAATAAATTAGAATTATAATACTGTGATTGGGTGTATTATCCTTGGTAAATCTTTCAATAAGAAAAAAATGGAATTACAATGCTATTAGAAAAAAAAATGAAAGGAGGATGTTATTATACACACACACACACACACACACACACACACACATATATATATATATATATATATATATATATATATATATATATATATATATATATATATATATCAAAGTACGTTGCTACTTTGTACATTAGCTCTAGTTTTAGAAATATACCAGACCTTAGAAGATGGTGGAAAAAGATATACATGTACTTGGAATCGCAACATACTTTTACTTATTTGTTTATTATAGCATCCTACTTTTCAGGAGCAATGCGTAATATTATTATTCACTAATATTCCAAAAATTTAATAAATTGTGCAAGCATTTTGAGAAAAGAAATTTAAATTTTACATTTTGTATAAGTCGCTCTTTCTTCCTCCCTCATATATATATATATATATATATATATATATATATATATATATATATATATATATATAATGCCAAAATACAGTCATAGGATTATTTACAATAACAAATAATTTAATTTGAAACGTTAATATATACCGAGTCAATGATAACAACCCTAACAACGCCACACTTTGGCTAAAAGGCAGGCAACATCACGACTAATGGTAAAACATTTCTAATTAAATTACATGTTATCAACCTAGACTTTTGTATTTCAAATAACTATATGGTACCTACGGTTCTTACAAAATTAATAAAGCCATAATCTCATGAAATTATTTAACACTTAAAAGGTTTTAGCCTTTCATTAGGCTAATATAAACAATAATAAAGTATAAGTAATGAAAACTTACAAGAGTGAAGGGAAACACAATTAACGAAAGAAGGATGCATCAGGAATACTTTAAAACTTATTTTATAACTTCAGAATATTTTACAAGAGGGAGAGAGTAGATAGGAAGAAATCTTCTGCCCTCTCATACATAAACATAACAACCTATATATAGGCCCGGACTTCAAACCAAGTTTAAAAACTATAAAATATTACAAAGATAATAATTGAGTACACTGTATAACAGCTGGTTAAACAAATGTCTTCATTATTGTAGCTTTATTAAAGCAAATAGAGAATATTGATAGATGTAGAAATTTCCACCATATAGCCCTTATGCTTTTGTCTTCTTCTTTTGTAGCTTTTCCAATATCATGTCTTCAATAGTGACAAAAGCATCTTCTACAGTGAAGTCATCCATAATGTCATTGGTATCATCGATTGGTTGAGATTCTCCTGCTAGACAATTTTCATAATTGCTTGTGGATAACATGGAGCTGTCCGATGGTTGTTTATTGAGGTTTTGAAGCAGGTCTTCTTTCATCTGACGAAAATAAGCCTTGATAATTTCATCTTTTGATGGGGAAGAATTTCCTTGACCTTTAATGGAATTTAGAAGTTTTTCATAAGGATTAAAATTGTTTGATTGTTCCTTATGAGATAAAAATTCTTTTTGAGATTTATATTTCAAAATTGTCTGATTGATATTATCAATCGTTTGTTTGGAGTTTATCTCATTTGAGGTTGGATCCTTTTGCAACATTTTTGCCCAAAATTTTGTAAGATATGATCTTTGTAAAGATGAGAACTTATTAGGACTGTAATCAACTTCTGGGATCCATTTCCAAATCCAAGGAATGGAAAATTCTATGAAAAAATGTAGAGTAGGTATTACTTCTCTTCCTCCATTGGAGTGCTCAAGAGCTTCCCTGTATTTTGGAGCCACATGAACCCATTCAACATATAAAGATTTGAACGGTTCAGGGAGAATTTGAACACTTGGGTCATATGATGACCACCATTGTGTAAACCAATTTGACAATTTTTGTTTATAAACTTGGTCACAAATTTTGAAAAACCAAGAATGTTTCTTCTTTGGATTTTCATAAAGAAAAGCTTTATAAAAGCTGTCGATATAATCCCAGAAATTGTACGTCAAAATAAAATTAATAATTGGAAATATTATAAAAAAAATTTATTGCTCTTGTTGACAGTGGAACAGATATAAACTGTATACAGAAAGGTATATATATATATATATATATATATATATATATATATATATATATATATATATATATATATAGAGAGAGAGAGAGAGAGAGAGAGCATATGATGATGAATTGATTTGAGTACATCAAGCATCTTGCTTACTCCACTGCTGAACGAGGGTGGGATGTTGTTGTTTGCAATCACCGTGAAGTTGGAGGAATTTCTGTCACGGTCAGTAGTTTATTAGAAATAGATTAATACTATGTATTTTAATTAAATTAAAATACAACTCTTAACTAAATTCATTCTAAAACCTATAGATAGATAGATTGATCATCATACCATTTTTGTTTTTTTTAAATGTTACTTTATTAAACGCTTTGAGATGGTATGATTTTTTGTTTGCAGTCTGATTGCTTCTATAATGCGGGGTGGACAAAAGACACACGAGATGTCATCAACGATCTTCATCGTGAATATCCCAATGCTCCTCTTTTTGTTGTTGGAACTAGCATTGGTGCCAATATTCTGGTACCTTTAATCTTGCATTATTTTATATTTCGTTTCCTAGTCATTATTTTATATTTTCTTCCTAATGTTAAGTTACAAGCTGTGATGTGATCAGCTAACTATTCTCTATTCTTTAAGTTCTTTAAGTTCTTTAAGTCCATGCTTCAAGTTTGTTTTGTTGTTGAAAGATTACCCAAAATTAATTTACAATGCTACTTATATACCGAAATATTAATAATTATAATCAAGTATCTAACTAAAGAGTAAAGACTAGAACATGTGAGAGGACTGAGGACCTTGTTGCTTGTTAGGGTGATTTTTCATTTTATGTGATAGTTGCAATAAGGAGTCTATTAGTGTAAACATCATCTAGACTAAATATCATATATATATATATATATATATATATATATATATATATATAGTTGGGTTAGTTTGGGTGTTTTGTTGACTAAAAGTTTGTTTATGATGAGTTAGTTAATTATGTATTCAGGTGAACATGTTCCTATAGCTGGTGCAGTTGCTATCTGCTCTCCTTGGGACCTTTTGGTTAGTGTCTATTATTCATCATAAGTTGTATTTCAACATTGCAAATTAATATATGTATGTCATTGTTTCTTGCATTTAACCCTTAGAAATATATATATATATATATATATATATATATATATATATATATATATATATATATATATATATATATATATATGAGGCTTTTTGTTCATATGTATCACTTTTTGACAGCAATTGTTTATTTATATATCTATCTGCAGATTGGGTCTAGATTCATAAACTGTTCAAAAATTGTATGATAGGGCTCTTACTAACAGTATGCAAAACTGTATGTAGTAATGCTCATTTCCTCACTTAAACACAACAGACACTCACTCTACTACACAGTGTTTTGGCATTTTAATTGTTTATTGTGATGAAAAAGCTTTCCTTGTTAATTTTAGTTTCTGATTGCAGACATCAAACTCTTTTTCATCGCGCGCCTTGCAGATTGGGATGGTATAATAAAGGTATGTGAATAAATATGTCGTAGTTTAAAAAATTTAATGTGATTAATGAATTTTAATAATTTACAAAACTAAAAACTTAAACATAATAAAAGCTGATTAAAACCCAAGTAAAGATTATTTCAAAAAATATACTTTCTACTTGTTTTCAGAAAATAAAGTTTTATATTAATTGATATTGTGGAACATTAAAAATGATTTGTGTCGTTAAATACAAAATAAGGAATCAAATTCCTTCCGCATCTGACAAAACAAACAACTTTGCTTCTTCCACTGGAGCGAACCATGCCTTTCCTGATTCCCTGTGTTTATTTATGTTCTCATATTATTCTTTGTGTTTCAGTAAATCATTGTTATTTCTTAATTTTATCTTTTCAGTTAGCTACCACTGTATATTTTTTTAACTTTTTGTTATTTTGGAATATAAACAGATTATTTTCTCTTTTTTCTAGTCACGTCGTATACGGGATTTTGACAATTATGCTACTCCTCTAGTTGGCAAGTTTGAGGTAAACCTCTTTAACCATTTTAATATTCTTTCTTGCATAACTTGTTAATTTGATTTTTTTTTTTTTTTGGTTTGTTGAAGAGTGTGGATACATACTATAGCCATAGGCATTGCAGCAGCGCACCATATGTCACAAAAGTTGCAATTCCGTTACTGTGTGTAAGTAGTTTAGATGATCCAGTCTGTACCTGGGAGGCAATCCCATGGGATGAGTGCAGGTACGCTCTACTGTGTTCCCTCATTTCATCCTCCTTGATCTCATCATCATCATCATCTTTAATTTATGTATGTTATGTTTATTAGAGCAAATAAAAATATCTTGCCTTCTTTGAGGGTCTTACTGCATCTAGTTTATGGTATGATCTTAATACTTATTTCAAGTTTCATAATCAAATCTTGACCTTATTTAATTTACAATATTAATTTGTTTTTCTTGTTGCTTCGATTTCCATAAGGTGGGTGAGAGCTGCGAATGAATTCCTTGGTGTTCTTCACTGCAGCCCCTTTATGCATGCACAAAAGAAGGTAAAAAAAATTAAATTCATTATTCCTTTTTGGTAATTATTGTATATTATTATGTGTAAAAATGTGTAATATATTATATATATTCTGTGACAGAATCCTCCGCATATTGGACCAGAATCTTCTGTGGATCAAGGCCCATATGTGAATGCTTCAAATGGAATCACCAATGATCCATCATCACCCACTGATAATGTAAAATTAAATGAAGAAGATCCATTTGAGAGACAGAAAATCAATGATCAAAGTGCTGCTGCTGATGTACTTGTTGTACCAGATGCAAAAAATATAGTATCCCGTCCAAGTGGTCAAACATCGGTCAAAGTAGCTGATTTGAATAGCATCAAAAAATGGTTGGAGCAGCTGTTCCAACAAAACAGAAGATCAACGTGGATGCTTACATACATTGCTGTCATATCAACATTGCCATTGATGGGTGCTACTCTTTAGAAAGAAACTCAAGCAGCCAAAATCAATTAGTTAATTAAGTAGTATTTATGGTGTAATATGTTAAAATAAATGTGTACAACTTGTAGGCCAGCAAGGGGATCGATAATCTTGAGTTTTATAAATAAATTTGTAATAATACCCAGCCAGCCTTAGCTAATTCGATATGAGAATACAGAAATATGATCCCAAAAATTATGAAATTTTGGATATCGTGGAATATTCAGCCATCTAAAACTTGGATATTTGCAATTTTGGAAACGGATTTAGGGTAGTGATTTTCCAAAAATTTATGATACCCGTATAAAAATTTTGGATATCGCGGAATATTCAGCCATCTAAAAATTTATTCTTTGTAAATGCAATTCAGTTGTAACAATTGATGACACTGACACTTAATGGAAGTATATATTTTAGATGGTTCCTTCTTTATACTTGGATGAAATCGATGTTGCTCAAAGGGATATATATGGAGTTTCTTGGATACCTTAGATGAGATCGATGACTAGATGCTTTCCATTTGAAGTTGACTCATAAGATAAGAAATAAGGTGTATCATTAATTTCTTCACTATATATCGACATATTATAATATATATATATATTCTTGTTACAATTTCACCAACTTTTTTGAGGCAGGCAGGCATGCAGATTCTTCCACGTACTCAAGGCAAATTGTTATGATCCAAGGCATGCATCATGCGTGACCAAAAGAGGTTGGCCAAGTTATATATATACAAGGAGCATCTTATAGACACTAACTGATCCTCAATGTTATTTGTCAACAATAAATAGAATCCTTTAATGATATCAAGCTACTACCTAAAGTAACTAATAAACTCAAAATAAGGCGTACAAAACCAATTTTGGAGCATCTACTTAGAGCGTCGAGAAAAATAAATATACTATCTTTTTTTAATGCCGATAATAACAAGTGTTGTGGCAAGTGATCATGATCGAGAATACTGTTTATTTCAATATTGAGTTGTATATCCGCAAAGTGATGACAACAATGACACATATCCATTTTCAAGTTGATGCAATCCTTTCGTTGGTGAATGAAGCTATTAGTTAAACTTAAATGTTGTTGAAACACCATTGACAAAGGGACAAATAGTCACTAAGAAAGAACTGAATATCAACCTTTTATAGATGTGGATCTATATGATTTAGAAAAAAACAAACTTGTGTTGGTATCAAACAATATTCTTGATAAATGAATACATGGTTAATTAGCAACCGATTCGATCCTCGATATCTTGTTGGATGATCTAAGTCCTATAATTTTGCATAATTAAATAAATATTGCTTATAATTATCATATATATAATTGTTATGCTAAATTGTTTTCCTTTTCTTAGAAAGTTGAAGTAATGAAACACAAACCTTTTCAAGGGGGGTTATCTTGACATAGGTATGCCTCTGGCCTAGATTAACCTAAGAGAAATAATTTTTGAAATAAAATAAAAAGGGTACTCAAGCGTTTCGGAGTCAAATCATTCAAAATTTATTTTTTGATATCTAAATCTAAAAAAATATCTGGAAAAAATTGCGTCCAATAGGATTTGAACCTTTGGTTTTGATCCATCAATGCTTGACATATAAAACAAATTAGTTTCGTCTTTTCACATGTCACCTCAGAATTGAAGCATTGACATATAAAACAAATTAGTTTCATCTTTTTACATGTCATCTTACAATTGAAGCATAAAACAAATTAGTTTCATCTTTTTACATGTCACCTTACAATTGAAGCATGAGAGATTCGAATTGAGATCAATTCCATTTTGAAAAGTTTCATACTAAGTGATCACCACCATTAACAAGTAACAATGGCTTTACCAAGTGATGTGTTGGAAAAGAGGCCCTCAACTAGTCTCTCAAGTAACACACACTCACACACACACACACACACACATATATATATATATATATATATATATATATATATATATATATATATATATATATATATATATGGAGATATGAAAGTAATTTGGACACAAAGCTGTTGCATTCTTTTCATATTCAGAAAACAAAGGCTATATATAGCTTGTATATATCCAACGGAAATAAGCAAAAAACAACCTAGAACTAATCTAACTATTCCTAGAGAATAGGTTCATTTGATGACCAAGTTCACCCATATACACATACACTTCCAATGACTTGGCCACCCTTTATTCAAAAACTGAATAAAACAAATACTAAATATTAACCCATACACATCAAGATTATCCAACATGATGTCCAATCAAATGATTCAACAAAGCTATCCAAAACCCATCTAAAGTATATGATTGGTGTAGTGACCCAAAACTCAATATTTGCATTATCTTATATAAGATTTTATATATTTGTTTTATTCATTATTTGCTATGTTGAGACCCGAAGCATCACACCCCTGGTCATAAGATCCTTTTTGTTCGTAACTTCCCATGGGTGATTCTTTTCCTTATTTGGCTATATAAACAATTGGCGACTCATAAACTCCCTCATTCACTTCAATCTCTTCCTACTGATCACAACTTGTACAGATATATGGAAGGCGTACAAGATGAGCAGCTGTTGAGTCTTGGGCTTGCAATCGTGATCGATTCTGGTAGTGGTCGTGAAAGAAAGGTGAAAAGAAAGAGAAGGGAAGGATTTAAACCTTTGGATACGAATGGAGTTTCTGAAGGAAATATCTATAGTCTTTTGGAAATGAGGGAAATCATGTTAAAGAAAGAAAACAAGACACCAGAAATAAGCACGGGTGAAGATGAAAAGGACTCGGTTTGATCCACTTATTGCTCGTTGCCGCTACCTCCCTTGACGAGAATAACCTTGATTCCGCTGTCGATAATCTGAGTGAATTGTATCAAAACGTATCTTTGATAGGCGACTCAGTGCAAAGGGTGGCGGCTTATTTTGCAGATGGATTGGTGGCAAGGCTTCTCACACGCCGATCACCTTTTCACTCAATGATAATGAAGGAACCAGCACCCGAAGATGAGTTCTTGGCATACATGGAACTCTACAACATATTACCAGTTTGCTCATTTCACCGCAAACCAGTCGATCATGGAATCATTCGAAAGGGAAGAAAAAAATAACAACCGATCATTGCATGTTGTCGACCTTGATGTAGCGTACGTATGGTTTCCAGTGGCCATCATTAATGCAATCTCTTTTAGACAAAGCCACTTCTGGAAACCGCGTGTCTCTTAGAATAACAGGGTTTGGAAAAAGCTTGGAGGAACTTGAAGAGACAGAGGCAAGACTAGCCGGCTTTGCCAAAACCTTCCGGAACCTAATCTTTGAGTTCCATGGTATGCTGAGATCAAATTATGGGCTGAAATCTGTTGGTTTTTCACAAACCTGTAATACTCAGACAATGGCTATGTACAATATCAAGATGAACAAAGAATGACTCAGACTATTTCAAGCTTAAAGCTTTTCTCTGTAAATTGAAAAATGAGAGGAGATTTTTTTTATACTCAACGATTACATGCATAACATCTTTAAACAAAAAAAAAAACTGCGAGAAATACTGCAACTACCACTACATGCATGAGACTAGGTCTCTTAGCCAACATGGCTTTGATTGAATCAAACTAAACGTGCATCTAATTCTAACGGTCAACAAATTGACTTTTATTCAAACTAATTAAGTGACAAACTAAACTTCTGAATTATTTCATCATTTTCCCCCTTAATTCAGAAGTCATACCTTTTGAACTCCGAGAAGACTTCGCATTTCCTCGAACTTGATTCTACCAAGTGGCTTGGTTAGAATATCTGCCTTCTGCTCCTTGCTGCATACGTGTGTGACTGAAATCTCCCCATTTTCGACACACTCGCGAATGAAGTGGAATCGGATGTCTATGTGTTTACTCCTGCCATGAAAGACTGGATTCTTCATCAAGTCTAGTGATGACCTGTTATCCACCATAATTGTCACAGGTGGTACTTTTGTCCCGTTATTTCACTGATCAACCTCCTTAGCCATATCCCTTGGCAAGCAGCCATGGTTGCAGCCATGAACTCTGCTTCACATGAGGAGAGAGCCACACACCTCTGTTTTTGAGAAGCCCATGTAATTAAGTTCTCATTCACATAATATGCCATACCCCCTGTACTTCTTCTGTCATTTACATCATTGCCAAGGTCACTATCAGTGTATCCAACGAGATCTGCGTCTTCTTTTCCCCTTGAATATTTTAGGCCAAACTCCAATGTGCCTTTGATGTACCTGAGTAACATTTTTACAGCTTGAAGGTGCTTCAAAGCTGGTTTCTCCATAAAGCGGCTAACAATCCCAACAGCAAAGGAAATGTCAGGCCGTGTGTGTGTTAAATACCTCAATGCTCCCACAATGCTTCGATACTCAGTGCTGTTTACAAGCTCACCTTCTTCATCCCTGCGTAATTTGAGCTTTTGTTCCATTGGAGTTCGTGTGGGGTTACAGTCTTGCATACCTGTTTTGATGAGGAGATTTCTTGCATATGCAGCTTGTTTTAATGTGATCCCATCTCCTTTCTGATTCACTTCAATCCCCAGGTAGTAGGATAAAAGCCCGAGATCACTCATTTCGAATTTGATGTTCATGTCTCTCTTGAATATTTGAATATTTTCAGTGCAGTTCCCTGTCACCAAGAGATCGTCTACATACACTCCGAGTATTAGAGTGCTTTTTCCTTCCTTCTTCGTGTAGACTGAGTATTCATAAGCACATCTCTTGAATCCGAGGCTCTTCAGATAGCGATCCAGGCAAGCATTCCAAGCTCTTGGAGCTTGTTTAAGCCCGTAAAGAGCTTTGGATAGCTTGTAGACTTTGTGAGCTTCTCCTTTCTTTTGGTAACCATCTGGCTGGGATACGTAGACTTCTTCATCTAATTCGCCATTTAGAAACGCTGATTTCACATCTAAGTGATGTATTTTCCACCCATTTGAGCCTGCTAACGCTAAAATCAATCGGATTGTTTCGATTCTGGCCACCGGCGCGAATACCTCATCGAAATCAATTCCGTGTTGTTGTGCATACCCCTTCGCTACGATCCTTGCCTTGTGTTTTATAATTTTTCCACTCGGATCCCTTTTCAGTTTGAATACCCATTTTAAACCAATCGCCTTTCGATTCTTAGGAAGATCGACCAGCTTCCATGTGTTATTTTTCTCGAGCGATGCTAATTCAGCTTTCATTGCTTCACGCCATTCTTTCTTTCTACAGGCTTGAATGTAGGTCGACGGCTCTTCATCATTTCGAATCAGCATCAGTTCTTCAGGGGGCAAATTGACTTCGTCGGTGTTCTCGTACAAGTCAGTGAGTGTTCTGAATCGTTTTGGGGCACCGCCACCGGTGGAACTTGAGGCGGTGCTGGGATTGATCGGAGAATTTTGGGAAGATTGAACAATTGGGGAATTGGGCGTAACTGGTGAGTGTATAGGGGTATTTAGGGGGGTTATATCCGGGTGACCCAACTGGTCAATATAACCCGAATTAACATTTGACTGTGGTGACCCACTATTTTGGTCTGGCGTATCTGGCACCCACTCTCCCTCGTCTTCATAGTATTCATCAGCGAATTCAAAGCCTTCGACAGTGAAGCTCATGCCAGGTGTTGTTTTGATCTTCTCACATTTTTCCCAATTCCATGCTTTATTTTCTTCAAATACCACATCACGGCTTACATACATTTTCCCTGTGACTGGGTTTAACAATCTGTACGCCTTCGATCCTTTTTCAACTCCGAGATGAACCAGTGGCATGCTCCTATCTTCCAGCTTTTTCAAATGGCCCTTTGCTACTTTCATGTGAGCAATACACCCAAAGACTCTTAGATGATCAATGTGAGGCTTTCTACCGGTCCACATTTCATATGGGGTTGTGTCCTTCAAGGCTTTGGTTTGTACTCTGTTTAAGACATAAACAGAGTGTGATACTGCTTCTCCCCATAGGACATCTGGCATTGTCATTGTCTTCAAATTGCATCTAACCATCTCCAATACAGTTCTATTACGTCTCTCTACAACTCCATTTTGCTATGGAGAGTGGGGAGACGTATAATGCCTCTCCATGCCTGTTTCATTGCAGTATCTTGTGAATTCATTTGACAAGAACTCACCACCTCGATCAGTTCTGAACACCTTGACTTTCTCCCCTGTTTCTGTCTCAACTTTCTTTCTGAAACTTTTAAAAGTTTGAAGGGCTTCCTCTTTTGATTTCATCAGATAAACCCACATTACCCTGCTAAAGTCATCAACAATTAGCATAAAGTACCTGTTACCCGAAGGTGTGGGTGGTGAGACTGGGCCACAGAGGTCTCCATGTACAAGTTCTAGCTTTTTCTTTGCTCTGAAACTTGCTTTCAAGGGAAATGGCTTCCTCGCTTGTTTTCCCACAAGACATCCTTCACAGGGTTGTGAAGGAACTGTCACCTTTGGAACACCTTCTATCAGCTTCTTGTCTGTCATATACTTCACTGAATTGAAGTTTATGTGTCCCAACCTCATATGCCATAACCAAGTTGGATCAGAAGCTTGAGTTAATAGACACATTGATATAACCTCCTCCAATTCGATCTTGTAGAGGCGGTTTGGTGACTTGTGAACTTTCATCAACAGTCTTCCTTCCTTATCTCTGACCCACAACCATGGCTCTTTGATTCTGATTTCGTCCCCACATTCTGATAATTGCCCAAGACTTATGATGTTACTACATAAATCGGGTATGTAGTATACATTCTGCAGCTTCCTCTGTTCTCCATTCTTGCATTTAAACACGATTGTTCCCTTTCCTTCAATTCTCACTTTGGATTCGTTGCCAAACTTCACGAATCCACTTGTCTTTCTGTCTAATTCTCGGAACTTGCTCACATTTCCAGTCATGTGATTACTCGCACCTGTGTCAAGGTACCACAGGTTTGACTGGATTGATTCACCTCCATGTGTTCTCAATTTTGGTTTCACGTTTTCTTCATTTAAGAATACTTCACCGGTTTCTTCTTTCCCTTCGAGTGATGACAACAGCAGTGCAGGTTCATTATCATCTTGTACCAGATTGCTTTCGTGGGTTCGCTCTTTTCTGGGATTCGTGCATTCGGCTGCATAATGCCCGAATTCCTGGCAGTTGTAACACTGAACCTCGCTTTTATCTCGATTATTTGATGAGCTTTGACCTCTTTCTTTCTGATGGTGTGAATTTCCCCTTCCACGGCCACCACGGCCACCAGTTCTACCTCTTCCTCGGCCACGACCACCCCGTGATCCTCCATGACCACCACGATTCGATTTTTGTCTCGTATCACCCTCTATTTTCTTCTTGTTTCTTTCAGACCATTCTTTGTGCGTCAAAAGAAGTTTCCGTTCATCGCTTTCACCACGACCCTTCATTCGTTCTTCGTATGCTTTAAGTCTTCCGATCACCTCTTCGACTGACATATCATCCAAATTCCCAAATTGTTCGAGTGTTGAAGCAATTTGAACAAATTTGGATGACACAGCTCTGAGCAATTTCTTCACCACCTGAGATTCATCGACTTTGTCTCCCAGAGTGCGAAGTGTACTTACAGTGTTGGTTACTTTTCCGGTGAAGTCGTCGACACTTTCCGTTTCTGTCATGCACAGTGCTTCGAACTCAGCCTTCAGCGTCTGAATCCTTGCAACCTTCACTCTGTCAGCTCCTACGTACATGGTTTTGAGAGCATCCCAAGCTTCTTTGGCCGTCTTCTTCTCCGCCAAAACCATCAGTAGATCTTCCGGTATACCCTGATAAATGGCGGCCAATGCCATGTTATCTTTCTTTGATTCAACAAGGGTATTTGAGGTTCTGGGCTCTACAGCATCCCAGACGCCTTGGGCCAACATGTACACCCGCATCTTAATTGCCCATGCTCCATAATTCGTCTTTGTCAACATCGGATAGTGGAGGGTTACGAGTCCGTCTTTTTCACCATTGCCACCGTTGCCTCCTGCCATTTCTCCACGAGCTTGATACTTGGGCATGCACCAGATTCGCTCTGATACCAAATGTTGGTTTTTCACAAACCTGTAATACTCAGACAATGGCTATGTACAATATCAAGATGAACAAAGAATGACTCAGACTATTTCAAGCTTAAAGCTTTTCTCTGTAAATTGAAAAATGAGAGGAGATTTTTTTTATACTCAACGATTACATGCATAACATCTTTAAACAAAAAAAAAAACTGCGAGAAATACTGCAACTACCACTACATGCATGAGACTAGGTCTCTTAGCCAACATGGCTTTGATTGAATCAAACTAAACGTGCATCTAATTCTAACGGTCAACAAATTGACTTTTATTCAAACTAATTAAGTGACAAACTAAACTTCTGAATTATTTCATCAAAATCAATAACGAAGAGGAAGAACGAAACGGTGGTTGTAAACTCAGTCTTCTATTTAAATTCCTTGTGCAACTTCACACACATCTCAGAAACGTTAAAATCGATACACAATCTAAACCCTTCCCTAGTTATTATGGTCGAGCAAGAAGGCGGCCGAAGCCCAAGAACCTTCCTATCAAGATTCATGGAGTTCTTGCATTACTACGCAACCATGTTTGACTCACTGGATGATTTCCTTCTTCTGGATAGTCTCCAAAGGCTTCAGATCGAAAAGAACCATCTCGTCAAAGAGATCAAACAGCTAATGGATTTCGATAAGGACGAGGAAAATTCGCCCAAGTACGAGAGGATGAAAACCTGGAAAGGAAGGATGGAAAGTCATGGATTTTCAGGAAGGCATCTAAGTTCCAAGTCCATAATTCAAGCAAAGCTCCTGTTGAAAATCAATAGCCATTACTGTCCCATTCAATTTGGTGGGGGAAAATGGAGGGTTTACTTCGTTTGAAAGAGAAGAAGGCAATGCCATTTCTCTGGCTTGGCAGGACAAATGTTTGATCACAGCATCTGCATGGCAATGTGCAGGAGGAAGATGACGAACCATGACTCAACACGGAGTACTTTTGGTATAATTAGTAGCCTAGCTATAGTTTTGTAAATTATCTATAATAACATGTGTGGAGTGAGTATGTAATATACGTTTTCGACACCACGTTGATTATAAAAAATATCTTAATCTTTATCATTCTGATGGCAATAATCTTATATGCTTCCATCAAAACAAAATTTTTTGGCCCAACATTTGTGATTAGTTGCGGTATAGAATGCCATCATATGTTGTATCCAATTGAGTATCCAACTTCCAAAGTCATCGATCTTATGAGTTTTTTTTTTTTTTTTTTTTTTTTTTTTTTTTTTTTTTTGTCACATTAGGTTTCCATTAACCTTATAAAAAACAAACATTTTATGTCCTGCTTTGTAAAAATAAGGTAGTTTATTGTAATTAAAGGTAAAGTAAAACTACAAAAAATAGTTTATTGTAACTTATAAACTAACTTTTGATAAGTTAGTTTGAGATAGCTTATTAATAAGCTAATTTATAAGATAAAATCTAATTTTTTTATAAGTTGTTAGCGTCAAATATAGTCAATCCAACTTAAACCCTCTCCGATCATTCACCATTTTAAGAAACTTAAAACCCTCTCCGATCTTTTGCAATGTATCTTTTATTGTATATTGATATATTTATATTGAATCTAATATTTATTATCATCTGTTTATTGTATTTGTATATATAATTTAAACTAGAATTGGTATTTAAGTATTGGATAATGTCTAATTAAGTAGAATTATTTTTGAAAGAATAATGTTTTTACGATGATATATATGATTGTGTGAGTATCATTGCAAAAGATGATCGATACTCGATATTTATAATACTGTGTATCAGTATGGATAGTGTAATGGATGCTCTAATGTGTTGTTCCTAAAAAAAAAAAAATAACTATGTGTGAGACCCGTGTATTACACGGGTTTATTAAAAATAAAAATTTAATATTAATATTTAAACATTAAATATTTTATAAAATAATACTTTTACATAACATAATGTAATCTTTTGGAACATTTATAAAAGAAATCAAATATTCTTTAGAGCATTTATGAGACTTTATTATCAAATTAATAGAATGATTCTCTTTCCTTATATGAAATTTTATTTTAAAAAAATGAAAATTCCTAAAAAATGACAAGTGGAAAATAATAATTTTAAAACTCCTACAAAATTACATGTGGCAAAACTCTTGAGAATTTGACAAGTGACAAAAATAGCTTCATTTATTAAAGAGGATAGATAATAATAATAATAATAATAATAATAATAATAATAATAATAATAATAATGGATACTTCAATTGAAATGTTGATTTCCTTTTGCAACAAGAATCTTTTTTTAACAAAATAGAGAGTTGGAGATGCTCGGGAAACTTATGCATGGAAAAGAAAGATACAAGGGTAAAGTCGGATGCCATTCGATACTTAGAATAGACAAATCCATGGTGAGGTTGGCCTATTTGATTCCTCTGACTCCAATTTAGCATCTCAAAATCCTTTAATTGGAAAACCCGAAGCATCGCATCTAGCTTTTCTATTGTATGACTTAAACTAATATTAGGTTCAAAAATTCTAACTTATTTCCATGGTCATAACTCATGAGATCCTATTTGCATTGTAACTTCCCATGGATTATTATATTCCCTATTTTTTTGAACGGCGGCTCTTTGGCTTTATAAACCACATCACAACCTCTATTATTCACTTCAATTTCTTCATTTCAGTCAAAACTTACAGAGAGATGGAAGGGCTACAAGATCACGAGCAACTTTTGAGTCTAGGGCTTGCAATTGTAATTAATTATGGTCGTGAGAGAAAGATGAAAAGAAAGAGGATGGATAGATTTTTGTCTTTGGATACGAATGGAGTCTCAGAAGGAAAGATCTTTAGTTTTCTGGAAATTAGGGAGATCATGTTAAAAGAAAAAAAGACAGGAAAAGGGAACATTGATGCAGATGGAAAAGGGCTCCATTTGATCCATTTATTGCTAACAACCGCTACCTCCCTTGACGAGAATAAACTTGACTTGGCTATTTTAGAATCTCCGAAAATTGTATCAAAATATATCTTTGAATGGCGACTCTGTGCAAAGGGTGGCAGCTTATTTTGCCGACGGATTGGTGGCAAAGCTTGTGACACGCCGGTCGCCTTTTCATGCAATGATAATGAAGGAACCAACACCCGAAGATGAATTCTTGGCATACATGGAACTTTACAAAGTATCCCCATATTACCAGTTTGCTCACTTCACAGCAAACCAAGCAATCATGGATGCATTTGAAAAGGAAGAGATTCATAACAATCGAGCCTTGCATGTGGTCGACCTTGATGTAGCCTATGGTTTCCAGTGGTCATCACTAATGCAATCGCTTTCAGACAAGGCCACAACTGGAAACCATGTATCTCTTCGAATAACAACATTTGGAAGAAGCTTGGAGGGACTCGAAGAGACAAAGAGAAGGCTAGTTGGCTTTTCCAAAACCTTCAGGTACCTCATCTTTGAGTTCCAAGGTATGTTGAGATCAAATTCTTCTGGACTGAAATCAATAAGGAAGAGGAAGAACGAGACGCTTGTCGTAAACTCAGTGTTTTATCTAAATTCTGTGTGCAACTTCTCACACATATCCCAAACGTTAAAATCAATAAACATTCTAAACCCTTCACTCGTTGTTTTGGTCGAACAAGAGGGTGATCGCAACCCAAGAACCTTCCTATCAAGATTCATGGAGTTCTTGCATTATTACACAACCATGTTCGACTCACTAGATGGCTTCCTTCCTCTAAATAGTCTCCAGAGGCTACAGATTGAAAAGAACCACCTTGGTAAAGAGATCAAGCGGCTAATTGACTTCGATGACGAGGCAAAGTCGCCAAAATACGAGAGGATGGAAACATGGAAAAGGAGAATGGAAAGTCATGGATTTTTAGGAAGGAATCTAAGTTCAAAGGCCTTAATTCAAGCAAAGCTTCTGTTGAAAACCAATTGTCATTACTGTCCTATTCAATTTGGTGGGGAAAATGGAGGGTTTACATCGTTTGAAAAAGAAGAAGGCAATGCGCTTTCTTTGGCTTGGCAAGACAAATGTCTGATCACAGTATCTACATGGCAATGTGCAGCAAGAGGAAGATGACAAACCATGACTCATGACGGAGTTGTTCTTTTGGTAAAATTAGTATCACAATTTTGTAAATTAATAGATACTATCTATGGATAATCTTCGTTTTCGACAGCACGTTGGCAAGAATCTTATTATTCCTTCAAAACGGATTTTTAGTTTTGACCTAGTATTTACGGTTAGTTCGATTGAATGCAATTATGGTTTTATATCTTCACATTACATTATATTTTTATTTTATCTTATCATTCAAAGCATAACTCTAAAAAAATCACATACCTACCTTGTGGTGTCGCAACAAATTGAAAGAACATAGTTATCTGGACATAACAAATAAAAAAAAGTAAGTTGTTATTTTAAAATATTAACATTTCAATAACCATTATAAAAGTAACAGTAAGAATATCATATCAGTAGGTTCTCGTGCTCGTAGACTTACTTGTAAGAATGATAAACAAGGATACAAAACATTGCATAAATAATCAAATCATATAACTACACTATAGAAGGCACTTGTAATATATTCGCTTCTGTTGTTGACAGAATCACAACAGGTTGTTAAAGACCATTATCTTGTTGTAACAACCTTAAAATTTCCAACAAATTTTTCAATTTTATTTTAGAAAAAACCTCCAAGTATCATAAAAACCAAAACAAGAAATCTCAGGTGTATTAATACAATCATCCCAAATCATAGCATCAAAATGCTGAAATTATAAAAAGATATGCAAGCCGGAGTGTACAATCATGTTTTCGTATTCCTGCAATCATCCGAGGTACGTGAAACACATTTAATCCACAACTGTAAGCATAAATTTTAGTGATTTCTTCCCAAAATATCCACACAACACAGTGTAACAACCGGTAAAAATTGGTTAGAATTTGACGGTCAAAGCACCGCAAACCGCTATGTGTTAAGGACCAATCATATGAAATTTTATGTTTATAAAGTATATTAAAGGTATTATATTCATAATTATTTTTAGAACATCTCAAACTGCTCCACACCATCTGTCGTTGAAGATCGAATCGAAAATCACCAAAAAAAATTAAATTTATTGGTGACGTTAAAAATAAATTTTTGCATTAAGTTTATTTAAGAGTTATGGAAACGAAATTTGAATAAATTGCGTTCTCCTGATTTTGTAGATATAAAGAATGTCCAAAACGGAGATCGTATGAAGAAGTTACATCTCTTTAAAGTTATAAAAATCAGTATTTATCTGATTTTCCTTAAATGAACCGTGTATTACTTCGTTTGGAATAGTGATGAGCCTTGTAAATCGCTTTTGAGCATGTTTTTAAACTCAATCTATGGCCTAATATTTTATCATATTTTTATGACATTTTTAATCTTGACCAAAATCAGATTCGTAAAATTTATCAAATCTGAGCCAATTAATCGTGAAACTTTAAATTTTAATTCACGGAGTTCGGTATATTGGAATTGAACTCCGTCTACGTTTCTAGAATCACAATGACTGGAACATTGAGCAGGCACATTCCGAAATTTTTTATGAATTGGTAATATAGCATGAGAATTAGGAATCGAGAGTCGGTATTTACAGCACAAAAATACATTGCATTGATTTTTTTTTTTTTGCACAAAATATCCTTAAAATCTGATTTTTTTTTTGTACAACCTCAATCATTTACAATCTACTAAAATCTTTGCAAAAATCAGATTTTTATGTTTTTACTTCTATTAATTTTGCACAACTCTCAAATGAGGCAGCTCTCTCTCTCTCTATCTCGTTCATGGATTATTATGAGAGTAAGAATAAGAGAAAAGAACCAAAATGTTCATGTGTATTGAATTCTACTCAATGAATACAGAGAACAATGTTTATATACAAGAAAGACTTAACTAACTACTAACTCATCATCTAACAGCTAACTAATGCTAGTTAAGTTAATTAACTGTGATTAAACTAACTTCTAACTGCCCGGAGTAACCAATTCTAACAGACCCACCATAACAAACTTTAGCGAACAAAAAGTCAACATGACAAAAGTCAACATGATATCTAATACCCCCCCCCCCTTAAGATGAGCTCTGGAAAAAATGTTGTGCAGAGCCATCTTGGACATAATTGGAATCATCTTATGACGTGGCAAGGGCTTGGTAAATATATCTGCAAGTTGGTGAGTTGTTCAAATAGGTAAAAGCTTCACTGTTTTATCAAGAATCTTATCACGAATGAAGTGACAATATATTTCGATATGTTTAGTGCGTTCGTGAAAGGTGGGATTAAGAGCTAACTGAATAGCAGATTCATTGTCACAGAAAATGGCAGTTGGTTCATGTTGGTATACCCCAAAATTAGTAAGTAAATGATGAAGCCACACAATTTCAGTTGTAGTAACAGCAAGTGCTCGATACTCTGCTTCTGTTGATGATCTGGATACAATTGTTTGTTTCTTTGACTTCCAAGAAACCATAGAATCACCAAGGAACACACAAAAACCAGTCATTGATCGTCAAGTGTCTGAATATCCAGCCCAATCAGAATCAGAAAAATCACGAATCTTTAAGGAACTATTTGAAGAAAGAAATAATCCTTGCCCAGGGTTTAACTTCAAATACTTGAGAAGATGAGTTGCAGCTTGCATATGAGGAACTCTAGGATTTGTAACAAACTGACTTAACATATTCACATCATAGGTTATATTCGGATGTGTAATAGTGAGATACATCAAACGACCAATCAATCGTCTATAAGAAGCAGGATCTTGTAATGGAAGTCCCTCAAAATTAGAAGTTTTGCAAGCAGGCTCCATTGGGTATTGAACTGGTTTGGCTGCCAATTTACCTGTATCTTCAAGTAACTTCAAAGTATATTGTCTTTGGGAAAGAAAAATCCCTTGTGCAGACCTTGCAATTTCCAATCCCAAAAAATGTTGAAGTTTGCCCAAGTCCTTCAACTTAAATGTGTTGCTTAAGCTTTCTTTAATGGCATTAATTTCAGACATAGAAGCTCCAGTTAAGACTATGTCATCAACATAGACTAATAAAGCTACATAAGTTTTGCCGACTCCTTTATAAAAAAGGGAATAATCTGCTTTTGATTGGATAAATCCTTGAGAAACTAAGAAATAAGAAAACTTTGAGTACCATTGGCGAGAAGCTTGTCGTAAGCCATACAAAGATTTCTGTAATTTGCAAACCAAAGTAGTGTTGGCCGAATGAATGTCTGAAGGAGTGTAGCCTTGAGGCAATTGCATATAAACCTCTTCATCTAAATCACCATTTAAGAAGGCATTATTCACATCTAATTGAATAAGAGGCCATGAATTTTGAGCAGCTAAGGTTAACAAAATCTTGACAGTAACTATTTTTGCCACGGGTGAAAAAGTGTCCAGAAAGTCAATACCTTCTTGTTGATTGAACCCTTTGGCAACCAAACGGGCCTTATACCTTTCAATAGTGCCATCTGACTTCCTTTTGATTTTATAGACCCACTTTGAGCCAAGTGGTTTTCTATCCAAGGGTAAAGGAACAACAGTCCATGTGTGATTGGCTTCTAATGCTTGTAACTCTTCATGCATAGCTTTGACCCATTGAGAAGATTGAGAAGCTTCTTTGTAATTCTTGGGGTCAATTTCTGAAGAGATAGCAAGAGTATAAGCCCTGTATTGTGGTGATAAATTGGAATAAGACACAACATCCGATAAAGGGTATTTTGGTCCATTTTCCACAATGATGTTATTTATAATATTGCAATGATAATCTTGTAGGTAAGATGGTGGTCTTCGTGCCCAAATTGGTCTTGTAGGCTGTTGTGATGGCTCAGGAGGTTGTGATGATGAATGAGATGAAGATGATTGAGGATGTGGAGGCAATGAAGAAACAGGAGAAGAACAAGAAGAATCCTGATATAGTTGAAAATAATCATCTATATTATATGAATTGGGAATAACTATGGAATCAAAAGGATTGTGAGAAATATTCTTTGATGAATGTGTAAAAGGAAAAATATCCTCCTGAAATATAACATCTCTGGAAACAAAAATTTCTTTTGTTTCAATATCCATCAACTTATAAGCCTTCATGCCCATAGGATAACCAATAAAAACACAACATCTTGCCCTTGGTGTAAATTTATTTCTGGAACTAAGAAGGGTTGAAGCAAAAGCCAAACAGCCAAAAGATCTAAATCTTGAAAAATCAGGAGGGCAATTATGTAATTTCTCATATGGAGTACTGAATTTGAGAATTTTAGAAGGTGTTCTATTAATGAGAAAAGTGGCACAAGAAACACATTCAGACCAAAAAGCAGTGGGAACTTTAGATTGAAAGAAAAGGGCTCTAGCAACATTAAGAAGATGTTGATGTTTCCTTTCCACTACTGAATTTTGTTGAGGCCTCTCAACACAAGAAAATTGATGAATGACTCCTTCCTTGTTAAAGAATTCTGTGAATGCTAATTCTTTAGCATTATCAGACCTAAACACTTTGATTTTGCTATTAAACTGTGTTGACACCATTGCAAAAAATTTTGGAATAATTCCTTGAACTTCAGATTTATGCTTAAGAAAGTATGTCCAAGTAAATCTTGTACAATCATCCACAATTGTAGCAAAGTATTTGAAACCTTTATAATCAGGTACATGATAAGGACCCCATATATCACAGTGAATGAGATCAAAGGGTTTATCAGCCACATGATTAAGAGATTCAAATTTCAATCTCTTTTGTTTAGCCAAAGGACACACAGTACAAACATGTTTATTCAAATCTTTATTTGAAAACAAACAACTATCAATGAACTTGAGTTTCTCATTTGCAGGATGGCCAAGTCTTTGATGCCAATGTTGAAGAGACACAACATGAACATGAACTTCTTCAATCACATCTTCAAGCAAATAGAGTCCACTTTCAACCTTAGCAGTGCCAATCTGCTTCTTGGTTGAAATCTGTTTCACAATAGCACGATTGTGATAAAATGATGCTTTAATCATCTTGTTTGCAACTAACATGGACACAGAGATCAAGTTCAACTCAAATTGAGGAACATATAAAACATTTTGAAGAACAATATGCTCATTAATCTTAATGTTTCCCATGTATTCTACTTGTATAAACATATGATTTGGTAAACGAACTTTGGTTCCAAAAATTCGTTTGAGGTTTATGAAAACCTTTTTATTATTACACACATGTCTAGTTGCTCCGGTGTCTAAAATCCAAATGTTAGATTGGTAATTTCCAAACTCACAAGTAAGAACGTAATGAGTACCTGATTCTTTATCATCAACAGCAGTAACAGAGTTAATAGAAGCAAGTTGACCTGTAAGAACTGCTATTAATTGTTGACATTGTTGTGTAGTAAGATTAGTAATGGAATCACTTGTATTATCCTCCTTGGTATTGTTGATTGGAACGGAAGTTTGATCAGAAACAACATTAGCACGTGAATTTCCTTGATTAGAACGATAACCCGGTGGAAAACCATGAAGTTTGTAACATTTGTCAACAGTGTGACCAGATCTTTTGCAATGAGAACAAACTGGAGATGATCGATTCTTTGAAAATGATTTATACCTTTGATTTGAATTTGAGTTACTTTGAACATTGAAAGCAATGGGATAATTATTGATAGAAGGAGTACTTATCTCTTTTTGACGTTCTTCCTGGATCAATAGAGAAAAAATACGAATAACAGTGGGAATTGGATCCATTAGGAGAATTTGTCCCCTAATTTGAGCATACTTCTCATGTAATCCCATCAAGAACATCATGGTGTGTTCGATGTCCTTTGCTCCTCCACAAGTACACAAACCACGGATGCAGTGAACTTCAAAATTAGACAATTCTTCCCATAGAACCTTCAATTTAGTGAAATAAGTGCTTACTGAATCATCTCCTTGAGTGAGATTCATCAGATCACGCTTAATTTGAAAGATACGTGGACCATTGCTCTGCTGAAAACGTTCCTTGAGTTCCTTCCAGATTGCAGAAAAAGTAGTCAGATATATGATAGAAGCAGAAATCTCTTTTGATACTGAATTCAAGATCCAGGAAATAACAATGTTGTTATTTCGATTCCAAGCTTTTAAACGATTAACTTCAGTTGACAAAGGTCGTGGTAGATCTCCGGTAACAAAATCAAGTTTGTTCTTCACGGACAAAGCAATTGTCATCGATCGTGACCAAGAGGCATAATTGTCCCCTGTGAGAACTTGATTAACAAGCAATGTACAAGGGTTATCAGAATGATGAATGTAATACGGATCATCAGATGATCCAACATCATTTTGTGAAGAACTAGGTGTAGAAACCGAAGGAATTGAATCAGACATGATCAAATCTCAAAATCACAAGAAAAGAGATGAAAAACAGAGTATGAATCACGAAGAGAAAATTTGAAGAATCAGTTATTAAGAATCACTGATATGATGAATGCGGAAGCACAGAAGAAAAACCTGGCTCTGATACCATATTATCAGAGTAAGAACAAGAGAAAAGAACCAAAATGTTCATGTGTATTGAATTCTACTCAATGAATACAGAGAACAATGTTTATATACAAGAAAGACTTAACTAACTACTAACTCATTATCTAACAGCTAACTAATGCTAGTTAAGTTAATTAACTGTGATTAAACTAACTTCTAACTGCCCGGAGTAACCAATTCTAACAGACCCACCATAACAAACTTTAACGAACTCAACATGATATCTAATATGGATACCACCGGCAAGGGAAGAAGAACCTGTGGCTGCCACGACCACCGCAACTCCCTTCCTCCCTTGTTTTCTTTCCCGTCGATCAAACAACCCAAACACCCTCCGATCACTTCGTGTGCTACTCACCTCCACAGCCAGCAACGAAAAGGGAAAACAGCCGAGAGGAGCACCAGAGCAACCATATCGCCATCACCTTCGATGCTTCAACCATCGTCGAGCCTGTCACCGCCTTCAACTCATTCCCCTTGACCTGTGGCTGCTTTCAACTGTTCCAGCCACCTCCTTCCATATCTTCTTGTCAAAAAGCAAGCCCCAAACACCCCCTTTCCATCATCCATGTTCGCTGCTACCATATCTGGTCGCAAACAGCCCCCAACGAGCCTTTTGACCAAGAAAAACCGGTGAGATAAGTCACCGGCTGCCCTCCCTTCTGCTCGATCGTTTCAGCCCTCCAGGCAACCCCTCATCACTACTGTCGGCAATAGCAGCCGCCTGCTGCTTGCGTTTTCTTTCCTCGACCAGTGTTCGTCGATTAGCCACCGAACCACCTCAGTTTGCTTCTTCGATCGTTCGATTCTTTCCCTTCCTTGATCTGTGAAGAAGACAACGAAGATCAAACCCACAAAGGGCCACCGGAGATCAGCTCTCCCTTTCTGCGCAATCTGCTTCTGCTTAACTATCGTCGGAGCTCCCGTTGATTGTCCCCATTCGATCGACCGATTCCTTTGCTGGATCTGATGAGCAGATGAAGAAGACGCATCATTTCCCCCTTTTGTACATTTGATGATTTTGACAAAACAAATTGTAGTTTTAAATTAAAATCAGCCCTCAATTGACCAAGTCCCGTATGATTTAGGTGGTGTTTGGCAAAAGAAAAAAAAAATTATTGCTTATTAGTTTATAACTTATTAAATTATTAGCTTATAAGCTAATAAGTAAGTGTGAGGTAACTTATAAAAAAATGACTTATTAGAGGTTCCCACCGAAATAAGTTATTTTTCATCAAAACACTTTTTTTTAACTTATAGTGGTGTGGAACCACTAACAAGCTAATAAATTGTTTTAAAAAGCTTAGCTAAACACCCCGTAGGCTTTACAAAAATGGGCCTTTTTGGATATAATTTATCAAAAAAAAACAGTCATTTGTGTTAATAAAATTACAAAATAATTTTTTTAAATATAAAATATTTCAAAACAAGTCCATTTGATTTAAAATATTATAAAAATAGTCTCGGTCTTTGTTTTAACTCAAAAAGACATCAAGATGCAGTTTCTCATGTGAAGCTTCACCAAAAACGAACATGGATCGAGATCACGCATCAAAAGTGAGTTATTACGGCCCCTCTTTTACGGTTTTAATATTTGGTAGAGAATATATGTATGTCTATTAAAGTTTGATTATTTTCAAGTGTTATATACAAAATAGCATCATACTTTCTTATTGGTCAAAAGTTTATGAAATAGTAATCTAAAAATGTGATAAATCACCAGTAAATCTATTAAGTTAAAGTAGATTGTTAAAAGATGATGTATTTATACCTTATGTGAAATATGAATATAATTATTAAGAAAATTCGCAAGATTATAAGTAGATTGCTATAATAACACATGTTGATATTATAAGTCACAAAAATGATGATTTTATATGTATAGGTTAAAGTATCTCATGAAAGCATGGAAAGATATAAAAATGACCAAAAATATATTCATGTATAAAATGAAAGTATGTTGTCATAATTGATGGATAAACCAAGATCATGAAAAAATATAATTAATAGTTAAAATTATGGAAAATTAACTTTTAATATATATATAAGTTATGTAAAAATGAATGTAAAACTTATTAATATATTTTATCTTAACTATAAAATATAACTCATTATTACTAATATATGGATTTCTATTGCAATAAATAACATGATCGACTTCAAGACTTAAGAGTCATTATTTGCAAAATAATATATTGTATTAATCACATGAATTATAAATATCATGAAAATTGTTGGTTTCACGTTGGTTGAAACCTGGAAAATGTTATAAAAGCAACTATTACGTTGCCCAGATTTTTTCATGACATACAATATAAATTTAGAAATCTATTAAGTCTTGCGTAACTCAAATACTAAAAGGCTTCAATCAAATATCATTCCTAAACAACAAAATCATAAATATTCAACAATCTTATAACGGGAAGTTTAGGACTAGGATGCCTAGACACATTGTTAGGATCCAATACTAGAGGGTCTCCCTATAGGTGTCACGTTGTTTCTAGAGACATATGATTTAGGTTCGTTTCCTAAGCCATTTGGGTTATGTTGTTGGGCATACTAAGACTGGGTCCTAGTGGAAAACCCTTTATTTTCATAACCGTTAATCCGCAGAGAACGACTAACGACAAGTATAAGTGTCATGTTATTGACCTTATATGGTTCGACCGCCCGCCTGTGAGTTGCTAGCTAGAATTAAGTCTGACGAGACAGATTTTGGCGTTGACGTTAGTACCATTGAACATTTCACGTGTTATAACAGGGTGAATGGCTTAAGCATGAACTAAGTCTGACGAGACAGATTTTTGCGTTGACGTTAGTACCATTGAACATTTCACGTGTTATAACAGGATGAATGGCTTAAGCATGCCCTATTAAGGTGTCGGTGTAACGCTTGAATCTTGGTATGTTTCATTATTTCCCTTGCTAATTTAAATTTTGAATTTTTGGTCCTTGTGTAGTATGCGGGGCGTACCACATGGTACTCTTAGCGTACTCATGTGAGGCCATTACAGGGTTCCGGACACGTACGCAGGGCATACGTATGGATTATTGAAACCCTAATTTTCGGGGTTGGACACTATATAAACTCATTTATGGCTCATGAAACCCTCATGTCTTAGCCTTTACTGACCTTATAGCCTCATATTCGAAACTCTAAACCTCTTTTTTTTGTTTTGAGCTCAATGTGTCCATTTTGGTGTGCTTTGGTTCATAATCAAGAAGAAGGAGTTTAGTTCAAGATTTTTAATCAAGGAAGAGCTTGTGGATCCTAATTCTCTACTTCATTTCCAACTTATTTGAGGTAAAAAGCTATGATCTTGTTCATTTGTGGCTTAGATCTCTTTATCTATATATATATATATATATATATATATATATATATATATATATATATATGAGTTTTGGACCCTTTTTTGGCCCCATGAATGAGATCTAGTGGTTTGATACCACTCCAGGAGCTTTGAGTTGCCACTCTTGGTGTTTCTAAGGTTCAAAGTCCATAAAGTTAGCACCATTAGGATTTAGAATCACCCATGCATGAGATTGTGTCCATTTAGTGAAAGAAGAGTGTTATATCTTAAAGCTGGGTTCTTTTGGGGCATGCAAAGTCATCAAGTCAGTAACTTTATGGCACTAGACACTTATGAGGATTCAAATCTGTGGTTTGGACTTCTGGACTTAAGCACTAAGTGCTTATGGGGGATTTTGACTTAATGGGTGAGTACGTTGGGCATACAAGTCTGTACGCACGGCGTACAAGCCATTTAGCGTGTACGCTTAGCGTACAGCTGAGTACCTACGTACTCAGTCTGATGGGTTTTTGCATGTTGGTATTCGAGATTGGGCTTTCTTTTGGGCTTGGGTGTTTGAGTTCTTGTTGGGCCATCTGAATGCAAGTGCTTGGACTAGGATAATTTGTGGGCCTTAGGGTAAGGCCCATGTATGTATTTGAGCCCAATTTAGAAAATTGGGCCGTAAATGGGCCTTGGATGGTTGATTGTGATGTTTGATTCAAGTGCTCGATCTTTTGTGTTATCATCCTTTTTCCGCGGGTTTAGTATCGCGCGAGAGACTTTGAGCAGGCCCTTGAGAGTCTCTATACCTGACGAGTCACTCAAAGTTACCATCTAGCGGACATAGAAATATAACTCCCCACCCGGTGTTGGCTGCGGGTCTCGTCCCCCTCACCGGAGTGCGTGCGCGACACTCAGAGCGTTTATTTCTATTAACAACTTTCAGCTCTGACTGGAACGCTGGAATCAAGGATCAAATATGTTGCATCTATTTACAGACTTCAGAGCTCGACAAAACAGTTGTGTCGAATAACAGTCCTACATACTGTATGGTGAGGTTACGCTTCTTAGTTACCATGTCCCGACATTTTATCGACATTAGTGTCGCGTAACACTCTTTAGCAGCCTCGCTCTGCATAACATTGCCAGCAACAATTACGCTGCATCACACCGACCAGATCACACTCCTCTCAATGAAGGAGTATCAAGTCAGTTAAAGTTGCATAAGCAATGTTTGGCTCATCGCACAACCCCACGACTCCCGTGGCGCGAGGTTTAGTCATTCTTTTTATTCTTTGATGCATTGGTGCTTTGTCTAGTCTGATCCGATTGTCAGCAGTTCAATCACATCGGACTAGGGGACTTGACGACGAACAATTTATTTGACTAAGTCCAGTCTAATGTCATTGGTCGCGTACCAATCACATCGGACTGAGGGGACTTGATGATATTGTTGGATTAGGTGTCTAAGCCCATAACTATAATTGGTATGTACTTGAATTGATAGCAGCACAGTCCTTTTGGGTTGCCCTCAACCTAGCAACTGGACAAGGAAATTATGAAAGGAGAGATATTAATTTATAAGATTAATAAATTAATATAAATGATTTATTAATATGTTAATGGATTAATATATTAATTAGAAATCATTATGTTTAATTAATTGTTAGCCAGAAATTAATCGGAATTAATTTTGGGGTTAAAAGAATTAATTATAAAGTGTAGGGACTAGTTTGCAATTAACTAATAGTTGAGTGGAAGGTTCCAGAACCCCCTTGGAAGGGGGTGGACGAAAACCCTAGGGGAAACCCTAGAGAATTCGTCCAAGGGCTCCAAGATAAGGCCTTGGGTCTTGCTTATGCCCTAAGCAAAGGATAACTAGGGTTTTCCCTAAACCCTAGTTCCCTCAACTATTTAAGGAGCCTCCTGGCTCACATTTTGGGTACTGATTCTTTGGAAGAATACCTTGGCCGAAATTGTATACTCCCTCTCCTCTCTCTCTTCTACTTTCCTTCTTGCTAGTTTGGGTGTGACTCCATTAGAGGCATTACACTTGTGGTGCTAAAGCTTCCAAGAAGATCAAGATCAAGATCAAGGGAATATCAATTGTTTGCTATAACAATTGAAAGGTATGTAAACCCTAAACCCTAGTTTGTTAATTTCGAAATTAGCCTCTCTCCTCTAG